CCGAATGTTTGCCTAACGGGACATGCCAAGGCTAGTTCTGGTGTAGGGGACTCGGTAGGTGCAGACATGGAAGGTCGCCCACCGAAGAAGGCGCCCCCGGACGCTTTGCGTCATCCAAATCCCGGTGCCAAAGCGCCCGGAGCATCTGCCGGCTCGGCCACAGCGCCGAAGGGGCCACCGGTTCCCGTCGCAGCAGGCCGGGGTACAATCCCTGTGAAGGCTGCGCCGCCCAATATTCCGAAGGCAACCGTGCAGGCCAAGCCGCCGCCACCTGGACATAGTCCAGAGGAGCGCTATGCAGCAACTGCCAGGCCGATCGACACCCGATACGGGTCGGGCACAGACCCGCAACCTCGGAGCATAACACATCCGAAGATGGTGCTGCGCCAGAATGTTGCAACTGCGAGGTTCCATAACGACAAGCCTACCGACCCACATGGTCGAGACCTCGTACTGATCTCCAATTGCATCCATGGTCCACATACTCCTCGCCCAGGTACCGTGTATAATCCGGACCTGGTGTTGCAGCCCTTCTACGTCGGCTCGACGTCGCCGACGCTTATAGTCGATGTATTCACGTGGGGCACTGCCAAGGACGAGTGGGTGACTAGGATCTCGGACGAGTGGACCGGTGATGCTCTATATAGACATCACGAGCAGATGCTCACCTATACGGTGACGACAGGCACTTCCCGTACGAGTTTTATGGTGATCTACGTCGATATGACGTGGCTTGAAGACTACGCTTGGGAGGCCATGAGCCCGTCTGAAAGACAGGCGCCGGATGAACAACGGATGAAGAACCGGAACCACGTAGGCAGTCACCCAGATATATTGCTGGAGTATGCCAACCACCAGAACTTTGTTGAGAACGCAAAGTACGTTCTTAACAATATCAAGGATGCGCAGGAGGCCGGCATCCAGCAGGTCGCTGTACACACAGTGTGCAAGGTCAACAGAAATAGGTCTGTTGCGGGCGGCATCTTACTCTTTGACTTGGTCCGCCGCCTCGAGGATACTTCTATCAGCCTCACTCATATGAGTGCAGCATATTCGTGGCCCTTTATGGGCAGGCAGTCGTGCAAAGGCCAGTGCATGTATTGCCAGCATAAGACGATTGACATAGTCACTCAGGTAACGCACATATGTGATTCATTTGCGCAGGCCGTCTTTAGAGACGGGCCCGTTCGGGAGAACGCCACATTGGTGGTAGAGCCTGAGACAGCTCGCCCGACAGGGGTGAAGACATATGCCGAGCTTTTCAACGAGCAGCAGATCG